GTTACCCTGTGGCCCACCTATAAGGTGGGGGTGATAACAGACCCCCCACTGGAGAGCATCTCCACATCGCACTGGGAAGAGGGCCCCCTAGGGGAACATAAGCTGCTGTCAGGAGAGCAGTGCCGGTGCAGCTGCAATTCCATTGCGGCTCAGCCCCAGCCCCACCCCCAGCCCGGCCATATCACTGCTGGCTGTGGAGGCTTGTCCTAGGCATGGCAGGCTGGTTAGAAGCATCCCTAGTCTCTACCTATTGGATGTCAGCAGCACCCTACCCTGACTTGTGGGGGGAAAGTCTCTAGATCTCTGAAATCACCCCTAGTTGAGAACCATGGTTTTTTCAGCTTGGACACCAGGGTCCCTCCACCTGCCGCTGCACAGTTGGTGACGGTGGGGATCTCCTTTTCAGAGGTGGCTGCCCTGCAGCTCTAAGTCATTGATGGAAAGTACTAGAGGGGGTGACAAGTTAGGGAGTGGTCAGATGGGCATTTCTGGGGGTGTTGAGGGGCACAGAGGGTCCTGCAGAAGGATGAGGGGCAGAGCAAGGTAGAGGAAGAAAGATGCTGTGGAAAATGTAGGTTCCCACCTTATTGCCCCTGCAGCCCAAAGGGAAAGGGGGAGGGGCTTCCTTCTGCGGTGGGGTGTGGCCCCTCCCTTCCTCTCTCTTCTGTGTCCCCCTGGCCAAGAGGAGTGAGGTGGGCAGTGGGAACCAGGCTGCACGGGGTGGTAAGCTGAGAGTGTCCAGGTGGGTAGGGAGAAAGCAACGAAGCAGACAGGGCATGGAGGTGCATTCGAGGGGACCAGGTAGAAGTCTGGGGGTCACCTGGACACAGAGCTGGAGGTAAACTGGATCAGACACAGGGACCTTGACTAAAGCCCCTGCTCTGTTTTTCCTGACCTGCATTTCCCCATTTTTATCTATTTACCTTTATTGAGCATAGACCCAACACCTGTGGTGTGTCTAGCAATATATAAGCTCCCCAAGGGCTCAATCACCTACCCAAAGGTTGAAAATTAGATTTTATCCACATGTGCCTTGGAAGAAAGGCCTGGAAACCTGCTAACAAAAGGCACAGCTTTGAAACCCCACGGAGTCAGGTTTTACTCTGGGAGTTGGATCTGACTTCATAGCAATTGTTTTCGCTTCTTCCCAAAGTGTATTTGCCTGGATCCCCTCCCCATGACTCTCTCCCTGCCAAAGAGGAGCAGGGAAGATACTGGCTAGGTAAGTAAAGACATAGAAGGTCAGTTTAAAAGTTCATACACAGCCAACTGGTCAATGAACACCTGTTCATGCACGCTGCTACCGAGGCACTTAAACATCATGCTGAGAGGCTGTGGAATCAAGCGCAATGTCTTAACATCTTCCACAAGTGACCTACATGAAGCGATATTAAAAGGACAGAAGGAAAATTCAGCCCAAACAAAAGGCACCTCCAGGCTGCCCGCTGACCTCAAGGGTCACGTGGGTCCAGAACGTGCCCCAGAATGAGAGTTCTTTTTCCAATCGGAATAAATCTGACCTTTCCCCTATCAAACCACTTGTAAGTTTTCTTGCCATTGGTGAGAACTGCATTTTCTTTTGTTCCTGCCAGGGGAGCACGCCCGCTACTAGAAATCACGGAAAGGCCACGCCCTTCCACCACGGGCGTCTGTAGACGCTGTCTGGGCCAGCCCGGGAGGGACACAGTTACCACTGTCACTCCTTCCAAACGCTGCATGCCAACAATCCCTTCCCCTAAATAACGAGGGGTCAAAGGCAAACTCAAGTGACACGCAAATGTGAATCATGAAATTGATTCGCTTCAAGCATCACTCTGGAATGGTGGGGAGCCGGGTTTCCAGTTATGCATTCAAGAGTCGGGGGTGTAGGAAATGAAGGACTGGATAAGCAATTCTTAGGGAGTCGACATATGCAGCACTTAAGAAGCTAAGGTGCCAAATGCCACTTCAGAATTAAATGCGCTTCATTCTGTAAGAAAGACATTGCTCTTTCTGCCGGCGACATGGGTCAGCTGGGGTGCAGGAGGAGATAAAACCCAAAGCCGTCAAGCTGAGCCTGTTGTCTGAGCATGCAGTGGCCTGGAGGACTGGCCCAGCCTTCGCGGCCACCTGTCCCTCATCCCAACTGGCTACTCGGAGACCGGGGTTGCAGGTCCTTGGCACTGAAGGCTTAGTGGGGGTCTCGCGGGCTGGGCCTGGGGATGGGAGGGCGGAGGCAGGGCGAAGGGAGGGCGGAGGTGGCCTTCAGCTTGGTATCGGGACCCCAATGCTGGTCCAGCGCTGCAGTGCCCGCGCAAACGCTCCTTCCTTTAGGATGAATGCGCGCTCCGGACGGTCGTTACGCGCTCCGAGCGCTGGGAGCCTGGGAAGCAGCCTGCGAATCCCTGCCGCCTAAAGACCCCCGGACCCCCGGGATTCCTCCACTCGCAGCCCCCAGACCGTGCCGGTTGGAGCGCCCTGTCAAGCCGCCACCAAATTTCAAAATGGAGAGAAACACTAGACGCGTGAGCTATGCTTTGTTCCCGACCTTGGGCTAAGTGCGCGCCATCCGCCAGTTCCTTTCCCCTGAGTGGCGCCCGCGGCGGCCCCGGAGAGCTGAACCTGCGCGCTGCCCTTCCCTCGGCCGCCCCCAGACCCCCGCCGGGGAGCCGCGCCCCCGCCCGCCCGCGGGCCCGCGCCGAACGGAACCGGTGCCCCAGGACGCAGGGCAACCTCTGCGGCCCGCGTGGGGGACTGGTCACCGCCTTAGCTCCCGCGGCCATTTCCAGCGATGAAGCCGACCGGAAGCGGCGCAGCCCCGCTTCTCCATCGCACGTGTTGACTGACCGGGGCGAGGCCCGGACTTGCTCGCAAGGGGTCCCCCATCCCTGGTTTCAAGGGCACTGGTGAACCTGGGCTCTTAGGTGAAAACCCCGCACCTTTTGGAAACAACATTAACCAGAACGACCGTAATAATAATAATAAGAAAGACAGTAGGGACGGCTCTCTGGGGGTCTGAGGCCACCAGTGGCTAATTAAGAAGAGCCGCGGAGCCACCAAGGGGACATGGGGCGCAGGCCCGCCCACCCTGTTATCCTCAATCTCTACGAGGATCGCTGCAAGGCCCCTTCGTGACACGTGTGGTTTCCAAGGATACCTTCTGAAGCCCCCC